AAAAAAAAAAAAAAAAAAGAAAGAATTAACAAAACGTTTTCCCTTTCATCGTCGTGAAAGAGGCACGTCTGGTGTCTGAAAACCAACGACTTGCATCTTTTTCTTTTTCTTTCTTCTTTTCTATTCCCCGCAAGAAACAGCAGGAAGTCTAAAGAGCGCCGAGTGCATCGCAAAAGTCCCCTTACGTCACCCGGTCAAATATAGCCGACTCGATTGCTCTTCTATTTCTCCATCCTCGTTTCCTCCGTGTCCACTCGAGCCTGTAGAGCACTTGGCCGTGCACAAGATCGCCTCTAAACCCCTCGAAAGCGCGGGCATCGATGCGAAAACTTGGCCGCGTGTTTCACGATCCTGTCCAATGATGGAGATTCCACGCGATCCCCGATTTCATCCTTCCGAGATCGCGCCCCATTAAACTCGTTCGAAATTGTTCGTTGATTATTGGGATGAGGTGGGTATACATTTGGATTTTGGATAATCGAGAAGAATTAATTTTTCGTAAGAAAGATTTAAATCTCGTCAACAATCTCGTAATGTAATTTCAATATTTTCAAAAAATCAAAAAGAAATTATTCGTTATATATTAACAAAAATTAATATTTCTATAATCTTCTTTATTAATTATAAATCGCTTAAAAATTAAATCATTTGCAATTATAGAATCTTTATTTGGAAAATAATAAATAAATTCTGGAGGAATATTTCCATATATCCATTCCATCCCATTCTCTCGCGAGAAAGAACGAGAACGCGAGAGGCGTTATAATTCTCCCAGGATATCAAAAAGTCGAAAAATAGAAGAAGAAGAAGAAGAAGAAAGGAAAAAGAAGAGAAAAAGAAAAGAAACTGGAAGAATGGAATTTCGAGTTGCATCGGTCCTCTCGCCGCGTGGAAAGGCAAAGAAATTTATGCGATCGTTCCAGGAACTTATCCAGTGTTTCACGAGCAGCAAAGATTCAAAAGCAACGATCTTTCTTTCCGCGAGGTATACGAGGTGGTGGAGGCACGCGCTAATAAAGTAACGAAGGGGGCCCCTTTGAAGTGCGTCGCTGTAATTCCTCGCTTCGCCCCGTCGCTTTCTTCTTCTCCTCCTCCCCCTCCTCCCTCCCTCCCCTTCTTCTCCCTCCAAAAATAAACGCGCCGCGTAAAACGCGAACCGGATGACACGTTGCTGAAAATACAACCGCGCCGAGGCCGCTGCCCGTTCGTTCTCACAGCGATGATACTTGGTCGTGGTGATCCTCTCCGCTGAAATTCTGGGGAGGAAAGGGGGAAGAAATAATTAAATTCCGTTGTGTAAATTCTGGCAAGAGCAAGGAAGAAGGAAGAAAATGAATGGAAGAAAGTTGGAAATGATTGGTGATGATCATATAGGGAGGGGGAGGAGGGGGTTGATATATTCGTGGAAATCTTTCCTTTGAAAGATTCTCGATAGAGAACGAATAAAAAATTAAAGTTGGTATATAAAAATAACGGTTAACGCTTATTTATCAAGTTGCGAACAATTGGTGGAGGTTGAATGAAGTTAAATGAAGCGAGAAAGGGTAGAAAGTGGAGTGGTTGTATACAAGGGAGAGAAAAGCTTTGTCTAACTTGCAACTTTAATTAGTTGTAATTTAATAAATTTGAAAGCCTCATTTTTGTTTCACCAACTCTTGCTTTTGCCTCTAGAGTAAAAAAAGCTGTCTCAATATATCAATATTTTGGGTATATATCGCCAATGTATTCACATTTGTCATTGCTGTTGTGTTGCAAAAAATTATCTTTTTTCTTGTTATTAGTTGAATGTCTTTATATATATATATTATCATTTTTCGTATCGTATATATCGTTAAAACTTCTATCTAACCTAACCTAATCGATTAAATAAGATGTTTATTATAATTTCCTATCCAACGACATTTAGCAAAAAAACCAAAGCCAATGTTTTTCATCTTTATATATATTATCATTTTTCGTATCGTATATATCGTTAAAACTTCTATCTTTTTTTTTCTTTTCGATTTAATAAGATGTCTTTTATAATTTCCTTTCCAACTACATTTAGTAAAAAAACCAAAGCCAATGTTTTTCATATTTATATATATTATCATTTTTCGTATCGTATATATCGTTAAAACTTCTATCCAACCTAACCTAATCGATTAAAC